ATCAGGGTGATCCCTGATCTCCCTTCCTTCCGCCGCGCCCTCAAGACGTGGCTGTTCCAACTAGCGGGACTGGCCTGAGGGATTTTAAAGGGGGTTTTAATTACTTTTAAATTGGACATATTTAAATATTTCGTTTTAATCAAATTTTAATTAAGTATATGTATATATGTTAGTATTTTATTCAATTGTCAGCCGCCCTAAGTCCGTAAGGAGAAGGGCGGGATATAAATGCAATAAATAAACAAATAAATAAATAAATAAACAACAGTGGCAATAAAGGTCCGAAAATGGCACAAAGCTAATTTAAGACTATCTCACTTAGCAATGGAAATTTTGGGCTCAACTGTAGTCATAAGCCGAGGATTACCTGTGATACCTTCTTAATATTATACACCGACTTTACATTATAAGCTGACTGTAAGCTGCCCAGAGTTACTTTGAGGCAAGATGGGCTGCCAATCAATTTTACAAATAAGTAAAATGAATATTATAACAGCCTCCTGGCTTGGAGGGATTCTCCCATATTTAAGTTGTCATAAAAATGTATATCTCTTTCTAGTTTGAGTCTTCACCTTACACATTAGACCTGAAATGAAAGAGTAAAGTCTCTTTTGACTCAAATTTCACCCCTAATGACTACATGGACACATCCATGATTCTTTGGCAACAATACCGAAATTGGTTTTGCCCAATTTTCTACTTTAGCTTCCAGCTGTGCAATTTCTCTGGCAGCTTCTTCTCCCAAGGACCAAAAAGGTCCTGTCCCTGCTTAATAAGAAAGGCAATATGGCAACATTTTTTCCCCAGCAATGGCTTTCGGCTCCATATTTGATTTACAAAGAATATTGGAACAGCTTTAATACACTTGTGGACTTCAACTCCCAGAATTCCTCAGCCAGGCATGTCCATAAGTCATAAAAGGGCCAAGTTTGAAGACTCCCTGTCTTAAAGCATCCTGGCTGAGGAATTCTGGGAGTTGAAGTCCACAAATCATAAAAGGGCCAAGTTTGAAGACCCTCTGTCTTAAAGCATCCTGGCTGAGGAATTCTGGGAGTTGAAGTCCACCAGTCATAAAACGGCCAAGTTTGAAGACCCCTGCTCTTGGAGCAATGTTAAATCATTCAAAAAAAGCTTTGGAAGCATTATGCATTTCGTTTTTCAGTGAACTATGCCACTTCCAGGTACTTTCTGGGCACAACCTGTGAAGTTGTTATAATTTTTACACCTGTCAGTGGTCAGGGTTCAATAATTTGAAGGAGTACTTTTCCTTTCCATTCTCTTCCAGTTTTTCCCTGAATTCCACAATGTCCATGACTAGGATGTCCTTCAGAAGCTAAAATTAGCCCAGTTCCCTACCTTCCAATCGTAACATCAATTTTAACCCAATCAAATCCAGCACAATACCTGACACTGCCTACAAGCTGAAAACAAGCAGCCCAGAAATATCTTCTTAAAAATAGCATCTTGCAATATTCACTGATAACAAGAAAAAAATAGATTTTGGAATTAAAATGATGGGAAAAGCAGCTCCACGGAAACAAGCATTGCAATGTACTTCCTTGGGATAGCAATGGTAAAATTTCAAAATTCCCAGGAAGACTGCTTAAGAGCTGGCCAAATTCTTTTCTTACATGAAAGCTTCTCTGGAGCCTTTGAAAACCTATAATAATAATAATAGATGTT